TCCTTCTGCTGCACGATGACATCGGTCTGCAACCTGTTTTCCACGTTGGAACAAAGATGTTAGTTTGGTTTATTTCACAGGTCTGTAGTTGTATGTCTGAGTGATTTCTGTTTCCTGGAAAGAATCTGCAGTGGTGGAATAAATTACTCAAGTAGTGTACTTAAGTACAATTTTGAGGTACTTTACTTTCCATTTTTTATGCTATTTTATATTTTTACTCCACTACATTTCAAAGGGAAATACTCTACTTTTTACTCCACTACATTTATCTTCATTTAAGTACATTTTGTTGCCAATACTTTCAGGTATTTTATTAGTAATGGAGTATTTTTTTTTACATTACGGTATTGCCACTTTTACCTGAGTACATACTTCCAACACTGGTGATTTGGCACTAATTATAGGGATAACAGTTAAATTAGCACACTTTTAATCATTGAATTGCACCCAGAGAGTCCTTTTAATCAGGACACGACTCAACATGCAAAATGTCTCTCAGTTCATACAGAGCATAAAGTTTCACCAGTAAATGATTAATGAGTGCATATTTATTTAGTTTAATTGGAGATTCTTTCCCTTTAATTAGTACCAAATAACGCAGTTCTTTCCAGGTAATGTCCTGAAATACAGAGACATATTTTTACTCTGTTTGATTGTTTGATAGGTTTTTATTTTCAGTTATAGTGTCTATGAACTGAAGTTACTTTGAATCATTTCTGATATTTATACAGGAGGTACGGTTTAGGAACAGTCTCAGCTCGGAGATCTCGGGCTAAATGTCGTTTTAATGGGTGAATATTATTTGGTCCAGATGTTTGAAAATGTGCAGCGCTTTAACTGGTTTTTTTTAAAGACCATCAGGGATTTATCTTTCAGAAAGAAACAGAAAGTGAACTCCGAGAGGCACAAAGTGTTCACGTTGTGCAACTTTAAACCTTAAAGAAAAGGTTTACGCTGTTATTGTGAACTTCTTTAATCCTGACGTGAGGTTTTCAGTTCGGATTGTTTCAGTGAGAATATCTGCAGTCTGGTTGTCGTGATCCAGTGGTGGTAAAGTGTGATCTCCAAATTAAAAGCCCTTTTTGAAAGCGTTCCTAATCGCTGTCATTAGCGTCCCCTCTGCCCGCTCTGCAGCGCCGCTTCGTTCCATCAATCCTTAAACTCTGTCAGATGGATCCTTCAGGGCATCGTCGTACCCAGAATGCACTGCTCTGCTTGTGTGATGTTTTTGGTGGAGGGGGAGTGAAAGAGAGCAGCTCTCCACTGAAACTGTCAGCAGGTTTTTATTAGTCCTCGCAGGAACAGGACCAGGACCAGACTGAACCCGATTCTCCTCTGAACTCGTTCTATCAGCTCGACGAACAGAATCGTTGTGGTTAACTTCAGAACGATGTCTCCCGTTCTGTAGAGCGTCTCGATGAGAGTCAGCGATGGGGGATGAATCCAACGGAGGTTTGTCCCATTTTAGACGCGTGTCTTCTGTGTCCTCACTTGAATTTATCCAAATCTGAAAAGATGGTTTCCTGTGCGACTGATTTCTATCTGGAATTCTCTTTTCACATTTAAACTTTTCTTTTTTCAAATTCTGCCATTATTGTTCATTTTATTGAACCGTTTCATCCCAGAAAACCAAATGTATCTTCCCACCTGCGCTAAAACAATTTGTTCATCAGCAGAAAATTGATACATTTTGATCGTTTAAGTGATTTACTCAGCTAAATTTACTGAGCAGCTTATCAGGCACAGGTTTATCTGCTTTTGTTGTTGTTTGACTAACTCTTAAAAGTAGTTGTTTAGGTTGTTGGTAGAATAAAAAAAGCTGTTTGAAGACGTCACGCTCGACTTAATTTACTATATCCAAAAAAAAAGTAAAAAAAATAAATAAAATGAATGAACAGACTCCCGTACTTCCACCTGAAACTGTAGGATTCTTTCATCATTAGGACATGAGAGGACACTTTATACTGTAAAAGATGGTGTAGGAATGAAGCCAACAACCCGACATAGATTACACTTTTGATTTTACTTTGAAAGGTCGCACTGCAGGAAATAAAACAGCCACAAATCAGATTCAGACAACTTTTAAAGGGCGCCGTGAAGGGGACACGTGTCTGGAATGGGACGTATCAGACAAATAGAGACATAACTTTCCTTTGAGATGTGAATGAGAGGGTGAAGGGTGTGTTAAAGGGGATAAATATTCAGAATGGAACGCAGCCAAAAGCCCTTTTTAAGGTTTTATGATGCTGGACTGAAGAGGAGGATGAAGGGCGCGGTGGAATGGAGCCTGAAAGCTCCAGTCTCTTTTGGGGTGGGCGGGTGAGGGCGGGTGAGGGAGGGTGAGGGCGGGGGGGTTTCAGCAGCTGCTAGATACTAAAAGATTAATCTGTTCGTCTGTAGTTTTCCATCAATCAGCTCCTTATTTGTTCTCATTCTGTTGATAAGATCTGCTCTCATCCAGTCACTCCGGTGTACAAACCAACTGAATTCTAACGTCATCCGCTGTGTATTATAGTAAATAAAAATGATTTTCAGAAATGAAAAACTCTAAAACCAGTTTTTTTTTCTTTCTGTTTTCTCTCCATAATGTTTCCAAATAAAGTTTCTTTTTTTCCAAAGCTGCTGAGAGTCTCTCGAGTCCTCCTTCTAACTCTGTTGTTATGGGTTTATGAATACACATATTAGTTTTAACCAGCACTGTAATATGCTACGTGCCTTCTTAGAAATAAGTCCTAATTTCTACAGCGGGGTCAGAGGTCAGGAGCAGAACCTGCAGCAGTCAGTGGTTGGATAGAGAGCGCTGATCTTTACTGAAGGACTGCGCACTGCGCTGCAGCTGCTGAGCTTCTGGTTACTTTTCAGATTAAGATTGTACATAAAAAACGTATGAAATAAAACCTAGCTGAAGGTTAAGCCAGTGGTTTCCAGATGTTCCTGAGTCATTAGCAGTGTTTTAGATTGATTTCCTCTCTGTTTCTCACATGGTTTCATTTAAATAACTTCCAGACCCACAGAGATAAAACTGTCCAATATTTCACACAAAAAGCAAAGATAAGATTGTGGATCAGAACTTTGTTTTCCTTCTCTGTTATTAATCATCTTATGACCTCTCTGATTTATCAATCATCTGATTTATCGTCTCCACCTGGAGCAGCTACAGCAGTAGCATCGATGCATCAGTATTAACAATCTGATAATGTCAGATAATAATGTATCAGTACTGCAGCTATAACTTTAAATGCATTTTGACTTTGACTTGTAACAGGATACTTTTACATTAATGTAATGGAACTTTTAAAGGATCTAAATACTTAAACTACCAGTATGAGTACAAACTGTTCACAGCAGAAGACTGACCCCTGTCATGGTGTGATATCATTATTAATGCATTCATGTGTAAGCGCTTTAAGGTTTTAGCTCGGCGAGGTGAAACTAAACTGATTTATAATCTGTAAAGAGGCGTCATATTGTGTCATAATCATGTTTTGGGTGCAGATTCTTGATCTGGAAAATAGTGACTTTATCAGTCAAATAAATAAAGTGAAGTAGAGGTATAAAATTAAAGTACTCATAGTGTAAGTACCTAAAAATGACACCTAAGTTACAGTACTTTGATACATTTATAATAGTTTTCACCTTATCTGTCTGTTTATCATCTTTCTAATATTATAGATTTATTTTAGTATTAATTTTAGTATTAATACTTAAATGAATAGACCTGTGCTGCTGAGAACAGCTCAGCCCTGCACACATTCAGTTGTTGAGAAGGTAAAGAGCACCACCTAGTGGTAGAATAACAAACTGCACAAGAAGGAGGAGCAAAGTGAAGGTTCTGGAGTATTTACATCAAATTATAATTAAAGTAAAGACTCATTATATTGAATTGTCCCTTTCAGAATAAGATAAAAGGATGTACTTCCTGTACCAGCTCAGGAAGCTCAATCTGCCTCAGGAGCTGCTGATCCAGTTCTACACCCACTCTGCTCATCCATCACCATCTGGGTCAGATCTGCCAAACAGGACCGCAACCCGCCCCCCCATTCATGTCCAGAGTCAGGACAGAGCCAGGAAACCCCACCGCAGACCCATCAAACCCATCAGACCCTGGACCACAACCTGTTCCAACTGCTCCCCTCTGGGGGGCGCTACAGAGCACCAAACACCCAAACCAACAGACACAAGAACAGTTTCTACCCACAGGCCCTCACTCTGAGGAGAAACGATCCCTTTGCAATAACCTCTTTTGTTGGAAAAGAAAAATAATCTTGTCAAGCATGTTTTGTATTAGAAAAATAAAATAATTTGAATAAAATCTATCTAACTTCGTCTTAA